GTTAAATTCTAGCAGAATAATATTGCCTCTTCAAGACTCTGAATTTGAGACCAGTATTTCCTTATTAAATGAGAATGAGCATCAGTGGCATAATGGCATCACCTTGAGATTTTCTTCTCAACAATATCAGGAGTGAAAGAGAAATGAAAAAGGCAGGACTTTCTTGGCATATGGTCGTGACAGATATTGAAGGTTGACTCATGCAATTTCCATTTCTAATCCCTGTCTTCCTTGCCACCTGGCTCTGCTCTATAAAGCTGTAAAAGTAAGAAACAGACTTCACAGTCTCCTTTCCAGTTAGTGGTGGCCATGTGACCCAGCTCTGGTCTGTGAGACATTAGGAGAAGTCCCCCAGTCCCCTTTTTTTCTTCCTCATTTTTTTATGTTTTGAATGTGGACTTGACATCTGGAGTTACGGCAGCCTTTTGGTGACCATGAGGTGGCAAGCATGAGGATGAAACCCATATACTATGGCTGGCGGAGCAGAAAACAAGAAAACAATGTCAAGCAGCTACCCCAGACCTATGTTCCTCCTCACTTCCTGCTATGTGAGGAAAATAAATTCTATTCAAGCATTAGTGAAGGTCTCTTTTATTATTTACCAAATATTATTTATCAGAATATTAATTAACTCAGTATTTTTTAATTCCATGTGTGTGGCACTTGACATCAGCCTGACACCCCTGGGGGACATGTGTTTCATGCTTTTCAGGAACTTTGCGTAAGAGAGCTTGTGTCAGTTTGCTAGGGCTTTGCTAGGCTATGGCAAAGTACCACAGACTGGGTAGTAAAACAGCAGAAATTTATTTTCTTATAGTTTTGGAGATTAGCACTTCAAAATCAAGACGTTGGCATGTGTTTTAAAGTTCAAGGTCAAGATGCTCTTTTGAGGTTTCTCTCCTTGGCTTGCAGATAGCCATTTTCTCACTGTTTTCTCACGTGGTCTTTTTTTCTGTGTTGTCTGTGTCCTAATCTCCTCTTACTATAAGGACACAAATTACATCAGATCAGGGCCCCATTTTAACTTAATCACCTCTCAAAGGCTCTATCTCCAAATTGTCACATTCTGAGGTCCTGGGTAAGGTTAGAGCTTCAACATATGAATTCTGAAAAGACACAGTACAGCCTATAATAGAGCCTAGTAGTTTATTTTCTAATAGAAATTATTTTTCCTTCCCTGCAATCTTGCAGACACAAGATAGCATGGCTCATGGATGTTCAAAATCCATAGGCAGGATCCTGAGCCTATAGATGAGGGGAAAGAGTCCTGGATCCGGGGTCAGAAGGCCTGAGCTCTACAGATCAACCATCTTCTTGTTGACATAGTCTCTCTGAAACTTCCTGTCTTCATCTGTAAAAATATATGAATATTACATGTAATAATGTATATGGAAGTATCTGGCACATGCTAAGGATATTTCATCAAATCTAAAATGACATCAATTACAAGATGCACCATTATGATCTCTGTACCCAAGTTGGCAAAATCGTGCCACGAGAGCATTTAAAATTAGAGATTCAGGAGCACCATCCCAAATTCACTGAATCTGAATCTCTTAGGATGAAGCTTAAGGATTGGTATTTTTTTAATTCCCTGTATTATTCTGATAATATGATATCCAGGATCCAAAGCAATGGCTTTTAGCATTGTCATGTGTTGTAGAACCCAAAATTTAATTCTAATATGCCATCTTTGGGGCTATTTATCAGTTTCTTAGATATTCTATAGGAAGCCTGGATTTCAGACTTTGCCAACAAAATCCCATTGCCCAAATACTTTACATTTTCTAACACATTCATGGGATTCCAGAAAGTCTCAGTTCAGGAGCTGCATATAATAAATACTTCGGTAGAGCATGTAAACCAAACCCGGTTCTAGTGGTAGGAATGCTATAACATGTACTCTCTTAGAACTACATTTCTGATCCCTGTCCCTAACAATAACCTAGGGGTATGATGCCCACATCTGTCATTCTACATTTTATGATTCTATGTGACATATTGTTAGTTCATTGTGGGCATATCTTAACCTTTCTGTCAGGCTTTTTGAAAACTAGTTGAATCTTCTTAAAAATTATTTTTATGAATGCCTATGATTGAATCCTGAGTATGCTGCTATGACCACAGATAAAAATAAGTGTCAAGATGAGAGTGCCACTCTGGACTCCACTGTCTTCACAGGTCATGAGAGTAACCCACATGACTACCTTCACTGCAATACCATTCCCCAGTTTTCATACCCTCATTTATATGTGCTCCATCATCTCAACAGGGTCCAATCCCCTGACTGTATAGTAGCAGATGGATGCCCCTCCTCTCCCTCCCTCCAACCAAGAAAGTAGATGACTTGCCCAAGGTCACATACAAGTCAGCCTACTGACACTGAGCCTACTCCCAGATCAGTGTCTCTCACATTCGTCCTACTTCCCATAATCTATTCATGATCCTTCAGAGTCTTTATCAAAAGGTCCGGACAATTCACCAATGTCTTCTAGGCTAGTGGGAAACTGCCCTGAATCTCACCCAGATCATTCACTGAGCCATGTAGTTCCTGTTTTCGTGCAGATTCCATCTGAGCCTTGGCTAACTCCCAGGGAAGCACATATCAGATCTGCTGTATATTGGCAGAACTTTGGCTTAGAACGTATTTCAAATCCCTCCCATTGAACATTGGCAGCCTTGAAAAAATATGGCCAGGAAATTATTCTGGGAAGCTCGATTGCTCTATGACACTTTACAAGGAGAAGCTGATGGCTTTCCCTCCCAAGCTCTTCCCTCTGTGCCCAGAACAAATGACTGCATATTCCTGTATGTGCCCTAAATGAGGAGAGGGCCAGCTCTGCTGCCGCATGAATAGAGGGAATGTCTGTGACGGGCAAAGCCCTCTGCACAGCGCACTGTGCTTCGAGCCAAGTTCTTTCTCCTTCAGTTTTGAAACCCTTGGGTACTCCAAGAGAAATGTAGTCCATGTGTTTCAGATTCATTTACACTTAAATCATTAAAATGTTGTTTTGTGAGAGTCATTTGATGTCTGAGGAGCCTGTGAGGCTTCTTAATGGGACTTTTAAATGTTTTTTTTTTCACTCTGCCTGAAACAGAAAGCAACATTTTGCTAAAACAGTGCCTGAGTTCAAACATATTCTCTCATCTCATATATTTGCACCCACATTATCGACCACAGCCTCTTACTAATGCCAGGCCTGGCAAGACTGACATTTGAAAGTGTTAAAATAGAGAAACTGGAGAGAAAAGGGAGCAGAGGGAATGCTAGCAAGATTCAAACCAGTGTTCCCCCAAATGTACCAAAGCAGCAGTGTCAGAGCGTGGGTAGCACATGCTTTTGCTACGTTGGTCAGACTGGACGCGGGGCCTAACGTCAGGTGCACCGCCAGACAGCTAACATGGCACTTCCACAGCCATAATCTCCTTGCAGCCTCATAGCAACCCTCATTCCCCAGAGGCAAAGCAGGAGCAGAGGTGTTAAAGATTGGACCCAGAGTGCACAGTTGGCTTGGACAGAAAGGAAAGATTAAAGTCTGACTCTACGTCTACTGCTCTTTTCAGGATGCCTCAACTTGAGTTTCTCCATGAGTGTTGTATTTGAAATACCAAATGCATTAGACTATATGAGGGAGATGCAGTGCAACAGAGTGGGTAGGATCTCAGATTCTTCCCCTAGCACTTTCCAACTGTGTGACCTTGGGCATGTTACTTAATCTCTCTGGGCAGTTTCCTCATCTGTCAACTACTCAACTATCCAAGGTATAAAGATGATTGAAAGGAATTAACACATCTCTATAACAGTCCCTGACCCACCGTGCTCAATAAATGTTGACTATTAGCGGTAGTAGCAGTAAGGAGTAAAAAGAGGAGAGAGCTGGATGATCCTGGCGAGGTGCCGAAACTCTCTGAGCCTCAGTTTTCTCATTTGTAAAATGAGTACAATTGTGTGCCCCTTACAAGTTTGTGGGAGTGCTTGAGATGATGCTTAGGCTTAGCATTGTGCCTAACACAGAAAAGGTTCTCTGTAAAATCCATTTTTTGCACCCAGACATCTCTCTCCCTATTCAGTATTGGTTGTCATTGTTGTGGGGGGAGTAACTACCTCTATTATTCAGCTCGGCTTAGATCTGGTCCTGCATTTCTCCACGATCTCAGAGTGTAGACATGTGTACAGACCTAGGGCTTTCTACACCCATGGGTTGCGGGCTTTCCTGCAGTGAGGGATCCTCACCGGGCTGGATTGGCTGGATTACCAACACCCTGAGTTGGTAAAACAGCATGAGTATTGCTTTTTAAGTGGAGAAGAGCCACTAGCCAACTGCAGGACTTGGGGCTCCCTCACATTCCTGGCCAACGGCTCTGTGCACAGGAAAATCTGTCTCGCTGTTTGCAGGCTGACTGAGGCTTTAGGATTTGGACCTTTTTCCTTTCCTAGTGTAGATGTCAGAATTTCCTTCTTAGTTGGTTGTTTCTGCTTCACTGGTGTCTTTTTGCTGGTGTCCTGAAGAAGAGCAGAAAACTACGGCCATCTGGCAAGGGAGACTAAAGAGAAATTAGACTTTGTCTCTCTCCACCCTCCACACACACACACACACACACACACTCACACACTCAATACATTCATACACACACACACTCACTCATACAAATCACTCATACACATCCACACACACATACACATACACTTACACACTCACGCACACAGACACACACAGACACACAGATACAAATACCTTTTGAGCCTCTCAGTTTCCTCTCAAGAGCTGGAGCTAGCCACACAGGATAAAGGAAGGAACTAGAGGAGCAGATCTTTTAAGGAAGAAGACAGATTCTGTTCTGTCAGGTTCCTATGAGTGTGTGTAAGAGCGAGTCAGAGGAGAGAGAGAGAGAGGGGGGAAGAAAGAGGAGGGAGAGAGAGAGGGAGAGAGGAGAGAGAGGAGGGAGGGAGGGAGAGAGAGAGAGAGAGAGAGAGAGAGAGAGGAAGAGGCAGAGGGAGAGAGGGGGAGAGGGGATCTGTTGCAGGCAGGGGAAGGCGTGACCTGAATGAAGAATGCCAGCCAATTCCAGAGACACACAGGGACCTCAGAACAAAGATAAGGCATCGCTGACACCACACCGGGGACAAGCTCACAGGAAAGTCAGGCCGAGGGGACCAAAGCCAGGCAGCCAGGAGCACCCCAGGCAGGAAAATGAGGTGAGTGCCAGGGCAGGAGGGGGCACGGGTGCCCTTTGGGAACCAGGTGTCAAGTAGCCCTGGAGCATTTGACCTTGCCTCTGGGCAGACTCACCTGCGCGTCCTGCGGGTGTTGCAGGGGCTTCTCATCAATCCTTGGGGCTTTGAGAAAGGAGATGTGGGCTGGGCGCTCCCCTGGGACTGCGGAGACACACAGCTTGAGATGGGAGACTTTGTGCAAATCCTGCCCCAGCTTCCTGCTGAAGCTCAGTTTCTCCCTCTGCCAGCGTAGGGTGCTGTCTGCTGGCAAATGTGACTTTCCTCCTGTTGCCCACAAGGCCGACTTTAGGTTTTCCCTCTCTGCAAAGAGCATGGGTTTATCTCTTCCAACACTTTGTGAGTTAGGTATGTGTTTGTGTGTTTATTTGTCCTGACCGGAAAAGAAACCAGCTTCCCACAGCTCGGCTCTGCCGTTTCTTAAACCTTCAGAAGTTTGCCCGTTAAAACCTCAATTTAGAAAAGTAAAAACCTGTTCCCATTTTACAGTTCCCTATAAATTTCTGCATTTTTCCCTGAAATCGGAGGCAGCTGGTGGCATGAATCAGACTATGAATTGCACTGAATGGCTCTTAAAGGGATACCACAAATTAAAAAAAAAAAAAAATTAAAAAGGAGTCTCTGGCGTTCTAAATCCAGGACTTTAAATTCTAATTGTTTTTAAACTCTTCAACATTTCCTATTCCTCAGCCTATACTTAGAGTTACTTGATCCTTCTTACCAGGCATTCCTTCTAAGTTTTCCTCTGCAAGTCTCAAAACGTAACCACTGTAATTATTTTTGCTATTTATAAGTGTTAATGCCGTTAAAAATACCAAAAAAGAGAAAGGAGAAGAAAAACACTCTGCAGATGTGTTAAGTCCCTAAGCACCTCTTTTCTCATTGATTTTCTTCTCAATTGGAAAAGGATTTCTATTTGTTTCTCTTCTGCAAAGTCACCTAGCAACTTTTCTGGGTCTGGGGCCAATGGGGGGCTTCAGACTGTGTTAACTCTTTGAGCTCAGATTACCTGTGGTTCAGAGAAATAATCGGGCCTCTAAGGTTAATTTGATCTGTTCTTTTAAAATCCATTGTAACATTAAGCGTGCCATCTAACTTCATTTTCCTTTCTCCTGAAAGAGATAGGATTTATGTCCATCTACGTGGAGGGATAATTTGGCTGGTCTGTTGAGATCAGAATCCTACCCTACCACCCAGGCCCCATCCATAACAACATACAGGCTGATTACCAGTCCTGTATCTTTGTGTTCAATTCCCCCTTAGCGCAGAACAGCTCTCCCCCTCTCCTCCTTTTTTTCCACCTAAAGGACCAGATTGTTCAAACCACAGCTCAAACATCATCTCCTCTTCTCTGGCCAGCATCCCCAGAATGAGCATCTTCTCCTTCGTGCTATCTCTGTTCTGGGGAGCTACATCTCTCTTCATCTTCTTAATATTTCACTGTTCAAATGTCTATCTGATTTTCCAAGATTGAATGCTCCTTAAGTATAGGATCTGTGTCTTGTTCTTCTTAGTATCCCCAGCACCTAGCATAATGTATGTTTCCTATGAAGCATTCAATAAATACTAGCTGAATGGAATTCAGTTGACTAGCAAACCAACCAGTAGAGAAGTGCTCCACTAGAAGTCTCCAAGGGGTCTTGCCTTGCAGGGACACAGCACTTCAGAGTTTGCAAAGCACTTTTTATAGGCCTCTCTCATCTGGTCTTTAGATTTTAGATGAGGCGAAGATTTATGGAGAAGTGAGGATAAAAGCCATTAAGTAACTTGCCCAAAGCCATACAGATGATCTCGAAAAGGTTCTGACTCAAACTTGGGTCTCTGGACTCCAAGTCCAATATTTTTTCTGCTACATTCTGCCAGACTCTCATCTAAGTGTATTTTCCTATACCAATAGCTCTCAATTCTAGTCGTACATTAAGATCATCTGTGATGCTTTCAAAGATGCCAATGACCAGACCTTACTCCAAACCAATTAAACTAGAATTTGTTGGGGAGGGGCTTTGTTATTAGTATCTTTTTATTATTATTATTTCTACATAAAGCCATGAGTTTTTTAATTATTTTTCACAGGATTAATTGCTTTGGCCAAATGCCTAGGCATGATATGGGCATGGACCCAGCGGCTTCCTCTGTTAGCTTTTGTTATTCCCTTCTTCTGTTGAACTAATTCACCATATGGTGTTGGGCATGACATGTCACTACTTGGGGTATCCTTTTCATCATCTGTCAAATAAGCGCATTGTCCGAGGGATCTACACAGTCGCTTTCAACTCTTCTACTCAAAAACAGTCTTGGTGTAGTGTAGGTTGAAGTGAGGGGAGGGAATGAAGAGGATACAAAGTGCTACTTCTTCCACAATCTTTGACACACGGAGGCTTTTTGTCTACTCCCCATAGCCTGCTCCAGCAGGAGGACCTATCAAATCCCAGCTTTCTATATTATTTGACATTTCAAGCAAATGTAGTGAAACTTTTTGATGCACTCGAGAATAGGTAGCAGGTGTCAGGAATTGTACAGCCAGTGCCTGGTGTATGGGAAGCAAAAAGCATTCAGAGAGTGTGATGGGAAACAAAAACCGCCACTTACGTTCTTCGTTCTTCGATTGGCAGCCCCTGAAGCAAGCAAGCATATGCTCAAGCCCATTATGTGCAAGGAGATATTTGTTTCATATGTTTGAAACTGTTTTGAGATGCAAACAAAATAGAACAGAAAGCTTCTTCCCACACTGGCCAGTTACCTACCACATGTGGGCCTTTGGAGCTGAATGGGGCTGTCAGCAGCCAGCCCTTGACAGGCCCAGCATTAGGAGGCTCAGAGTCTCCTCCATGTGGTCTGGAAAAAGCAGGCATGGAGAAAGTTGACCTTTCAGCCTTGCATAATCTGGGTGTCGCTATTGCAGTGAAGTCCAGCCTGGGAGCCAAAGTTCTTTCCTAACCTCTGCTTTTCGGGAAGCAGCACGATGGAGTAATTATAACCAATGTTTGCTGAGGGCTGGACAGTTAACAAAGGACTTTCCAATCCTCCTTTACTCTGATAGCAGGCTGATGGCAACTTATTATTATCACCGCTTACTGGACGAGGACACTGAGAGCTTATATGCCTTCCCCAAGATGGGTCAGATAAATAAAGTCAAAGGATGGATCTTCTGATCCAAGTCCAGGGCTCTCCCCTCCCCCAGGCAGAATTGAACCAGAATTCCCAGCTCCCGGTAACATCCACACCTTTCCTCGCTTGAAATTGGAGCTGCGTGGGCCCTGAAAGACGGGGTTTCTAGACTCTGCTTTCCTGTGAGTTCACTGGAGAGCTTGGACCTATGCCTTCCCTTCTCTCTCCCTTGGAGGCCCTACCCCCCAAGATTGGTTTTAAAAAACATATTGACCCTGGCAATTGGATTAAAACATTTTGTTTCCTCAGTTGAAATCTCACAAGTTACTATTGTAGGGACACTGGAAAATTTTAAATGACTTTCTTATTTTCTTTTTATTGAAAAAACAGTAGAAGGTCCTTCTTGGCAAATATGAACATCACATATACACAAAAATTAAACTTAAAACTTTCATATTCCCATTTCAGAGATAACCACTGTCAATACACTGGTGATATCCTTCTAGGCCTTTTTGCATTTACTATTTACCTTTCATGTAAATATCATATGAGACAGCTAGATAATCTACGTTTACAGTTATCTTGTTGTGTTACATATTCAAAACTTCATGCGTATCCATATATACACATACATGGGTCTGGGTAGGGAGAAACAACTTTCCGATTAGTAAAGTATGAGCATTACAGTAATGCCTGCTTATCCCCAGTGGACAGGTTCCAAGATCCTCAGAGAATTCCTGAAACCACAGAGAGCAGGGAGCCCTTTAGACACAATGTATTTCCTATGCATACCTACCTATGCTCGAATTTAATTGATTAATTAGGCATAAGAGATTAATGATAGTAACTAATAATAAAATAGAACAATTGTAGCAATATACTGCAACAAAATGATGTGAATGGGATCTCTTTCAAAATATCTTAATTGTGAGGCGCCTGGGTGGTTCAGTGGTTAAGCGTCTGCCTTTGGCTCAGGGCATGATCCTGGCCTGGGGAATGAGTCCCACATCGGGCTCCACACATGGAGCCTGCTTCTCCATCTGCCTGTGTCTCTGCCTCTCTCTCTGTGTCTCTCATGAATAAATATGTAAAATTTTGAAAAAAAATCTTAATTATACTGTACTCACCCTTCTTCTGATGATACTGAGATGATAAAATGTCTATGTGATGAGATGAAGCGAGGTGAGTGACATAAGCACTATGATGTAGCATTAGGCTATTACTGACCTTTGGACCGTATGTCAGAAGGAGGATCATCTTGCTTGTGGACCAGGACTGGCCATGGGTAACTGAAACCACAGAAAAGGAAATAGTGGATAAGGAGAAATACTGTAATCTGAGGATGCTGATATAATTTCCCAGCATGAATTTAGATTATAGAAGGCACTGGCACCACTTTCTTTCTTTCATTCATTCATTCATCCATTCACTCATTCATTCATTCATCCATTCATTTTATTCATTCATCATCTACTATACACCAGGCTGTATACTAGGTCCTTTATATACATCATCTCTAATGCTCATGGGAGTCCAATAATTAGAAATTATAATCCCCACTTAACATGCGAGGAAACTAGGTCTCAGAGAGACTATTATCCAAGATTTCACCACCAGTGAGTAGAAGAATGGGGATTCGAACCCAATATATCTAACTTCAGGAGCTGTGTCTAAAAGCAGTGCAATATGAGATGTGCAGAATGGAATCTGGAGGTGTGAAGGGTACTCCATAGCCTGGGAAGCTTTGAGCTGGATATCGGAGGATAAGGCAAGCAGATGAAGAATGGGTAGGATCTGTGCAAGGGGGCCCAAGCATGGACAGGCATGACAGACTTTCAGAATGGCATGCCGGGGCATAGCTGACACTGAGATGAGGCCAGACAGGCAGATCAGCCCTAGATCAAAAAGGGTTCATCTGCCATCCTGGGAGCAGATGCTTTATGCTGCAGGCACAGTGAAGCAGTATGGTCACACGTGTGTTTTAGAAAATCAACTTTAGCAGAAAAGTGCTGAATGGTATGAAATGGAGTAAGGGGAGATTACTTAGGATGCAGTAGCGATAGGCCAGATAAGAACATTTAAATTAAATGACTTGGAGAGAAGCAGATGGATTTCCAAAAGATAGGAAGCAGAATAAACAGGAATGAGGGAAGAAGTCGATGAGCCAGGTTTGGTGGGTTTGAGTTCAAGATTATTGGGTCTTGCAGGGGGAGCAGTCTATTAGATGCCTGATGTTGCGCATATTGACCATTAGGGTTCTGATTAGCCTTGGACATCCTGCCTCATTATTGCACCACTTTGGGTGTGTTCCCTAAGTTTTATTGGGTTTTCCTTGCCCCTTCCTTAGGCAATTCTCTTAACCCTCCATTATCTCTGATGCCTACAGCTGGAAATAAATTGTAGGTTTCTGATCCTTTCGTAAGAATATTTACCAAGAGGGGAAAAAACTTGTTTTGCTTATTCTTTCTTAATTCAAAACTTTGCATAATACTTTGAATGGTTTTGTTAAATCTGTTTTAAGTAACGCAAGATCCCATCTCTGAGTAGAAGTCTTATCTCGCCATTACCATGTTACTATTAGTTACTTCTTACAAAACTGAACCAAGAGTTTATGATTCTTAAATGAAGCTGAGTTGAAGAAAGGACACAACTTTTACCTAATTGTGAAACTGATATTCTCAACAATAAAATAATGTATGTCAGAGTCCCAAATAGGGCACTGTCTAGGAGAATTGAATCTTTATTATCAAATCTTCAGAAGAGCACAGCTGGGGGCATCTGGGTGGCTCAATCAGTTAAGCATCTACTCTTAGCTCAAGTCATGATCCCAGGCTCCTGGGATAGAGGCCCAATTCAGGTTCCCCACTCAGTGGGGAATCAGCTTCTCCCTCTCCCTCTGCCTCGTACCACCCCTCCTCCCACTCATGCACATGCGCACACATGTTTTCTCTCTCTCAAATAAATAAACAAAATCTTGAAAAAATAATAATAAAAAGAAGAGCACAGCTGGAAGAAAGCTTAGAAATCATGGAGTCACCATCTCCCTGTAAAAAGGACAGGGTAAGCAAGGCCCTGAGTGGGGAAAAGTAAATGCAGCAGGTCAGTGGCAGAGATATGCTGATAGCACAGTCTCCTGGCTGCTGACTTAGTGAAAGGGTGGGGACCTATGTCCATGAATGTAAGTGAATCCATTCATGTCTTTCAGGTGGCTCCTTCTCTATCATGTTCTGTGCCTCTCCTTGTTGAAAGCTTCGGCCCATACCGTGGAGCTTAACAATATGTTTGGCCAGATTCAGTCACCTGGCTATCCAGACTCCTATCCGAGTGATTCAGAGGTGACTTGGAATATCACTGTCCCAGAGGGATTTCGGATCAAGCTTTACTTCATGCACTTCAACTTGGAGTCCTCCTACCTTTGTGAATATGACTATGTGAAGGTGAGACCTCTGATGTTCCCTAACTGAGGCAGTTTCTCTACTAGAGAATCTGCTGAGAGTTAGAGAAGCCCAGATGAACTAGATACTGTGCTTACCCCCCACCCAGGGTAGCAGTCCAGTGAGGAATATGCACAAAGTTACATGATGAAGTTTGGGGGTGGTATGCTAGGTGCAGACTGAGTGGTAGATGTAGAAAGGACCACAAGGGAAATTGGGGCTGGTGAAGTATAACTCAGCCAAACATAACTTCTACTTTTTCTTTCTGTTCTCAAAGTCCTTAATGTTTCCACTAATCCTTTACCAGCAGAAAGAAAAGGGCAGAGACCCCAGAAAAGGATAACCAGACTGAAACACAGCCATAATTATGTCCAAAGCTGAGGCATTAAAAAGCATTGCCCACTTCCCTAAGTAAAGGGGAAGTATTTGGGAAAGGTTGAGTATGTAGTTCCCAAGTATTTGGGAAAGGTTGGATATGCAGTAGTAGACAGTAGGAGATGAAGTCAGAAGGTTGGATTGAGGTGAGATTCTGAAGGGTCTTGAATGCGATGCTAAGAAGTTTGGATTTTCTCTGCAAAGGGTATTGGCAGGATTGAGGGGCCATCAGAGCTGGATGTAAAAACCATGTGGAAGAGAAACAGGAAATGATTACAACATCAAAGTGCTCTTCTCTGGAATTTAGAGAGAACCCACAAACAATGCCATAGATGGGAAAGCTGTTCTTTGAAAGTGGGACTGAGAAAGTTTGGAGTACTTCTGAGAGATCAAGTTTACTAGGCTGTATCTGGCTCAAAAAGATCTGGAGGTCTAAGAACCTACTTTCTAAGCTCTCTCTGGCTTTCTGGAAAAGATCTCATCAAATTACTCTAGAGTAGACTTCATACATTGTTAGTATTAATGTGATCTCTGTTCTCCACAGCCAGTAATTCAACAGGAGTTGACCTTGTATTAACCAGAATATTGGATCAACAGCAAAGTAGTGAGTTTACAATGTACTTTTATACTTGCAATCCCATCCAATCTTTAAAATAATTCTATAAGACAGGTACTACTACTGTCCTGCTTCACAGGCAAAGGAACAAACCTAAGAAGGTGAAGCTACAGCTAGTAAGTGATGGGTCAATTTCCAAACCCATGTCTTCTGACTTTCAATCCCATACTCTTTTGTCTACACTGAACTGCTCTCAAGTTTGTCTCCACTGAGCCCCAGGATACTGCAGGAACTTGTAAGACTACTGTTGGGAGGAAGGAGGGGGTAAGTGGGAATATGAACCCCCATCCTGCTTAAACTCATTTTAAATGTTGGGTATTGCTTATTTTATATGTTGGGCATGCATCAAATATCTCATTTACAACAAGGTTTCTGTGATGAAAAACTCCCTCAAATTGGTGCTCTATGACAGTTTCTTAGCTTCAGCACTATTGATATTTTGACCTACAGATAATTCTTTGCTGAGGAAAGAAAGCTGTTTTGAGAATTATAGGATTTTTAGGAGCATCCCTGGCTTCTACTCACTAGACACCAATATCACTCTACCTCCAGTTGCGACTATAAAAATATCCCTAGAAGCTGGCCCTATCCCCAGAGGGACAGAATCTCTTAATTTGAGAACCACCGTTCAGTGGGATGCTGCACCCCTGTGAATGTACTGGGCTGAGGGACTATGAGAATTTAAAGATACAAAAGATCTGATCCCTTACAAAGAGAAGTGAGCCTAGAAAAGTAGCCACTGCATAAGATGGAAAAGTAATGACAATTAAAGACTGATGATAAAGAATGAGAAGAGGGGGAGTCATTGCTCTAGGAGATGATGGAGGTTGGCAGTCTAGATTGACATAAAGTTTCTGTGAATTCATTAAAAATGGAGCCAACTTCTCTGAGTCACAAGGATCCAGCAAGGAGTATTCACTAAGACCCTATGTGTTCATCATCATAAAGTGAAATTCCTGACAAACATGTTAGTTATGTCTTCCAGGATATAATCTAGCCTCTATTAGAGCCAGACTCCAGGAGCAGATGCATTGTGGGTAGGGAGCATTAGGTTAGCTGACTCCTCCAGCCCATTCCCCCCAACCAATGCTGGTCATAAAACTGTGGCATTCTCAAATATTTGGATTAGAGAGTGGACTTAACCAGAAGGAAGATGATCAAACATTGGCTTAATACCACAGTAAGTTCCACAGGTTTAGACAAGGCTAGATGTGAACTTCCTAACTGCTTTCTTCTCTATTTTCAAACATGTCAAACCACCTAGATTTTTTTTTAGTGAAAACACTTGCTTTTACTAGTAGTTGAGGTCTTAAGACTATGGATATTACAGAAATTTTTTTTCTTTAGCCGTAACAACTTATTTTCATTATCCACCCTGTCCTTCCTCTACCCAAGGAATTAACTCTCAATTCATAATACACTAAGCAATCATTTCTCACAAGTTTTCCTCTTGTTCAGACAGATGCCAAGCTTGACCTTGTTAGGACTCCCTTCTAGAGACAATGAACACACAACAGAGGGTTTGACTCATTCCTTTGTCCCAAATAAACTGAACCTCCTGGCAAAGCAGATTAAGAAGCTGATATCAGCTGCATTTTGTAACAGAAAAATAAAAATAAAAACAAACAGGTGCTTTTCAAGGGCAATGAAAGAAACTGAAGACCTCTTCTGACACTGAATTAAGGACCCTGGCATACATTCTACCCAAAACTTGGCCTTTCTGGCTGGAGAATTTTTTAGAAACTGATTGATGGTTTCTATCAGGAACAGTGAGACACCTTCATGAAAGCTCAGGCAGGTAGGTCCCCTGGAAGGGTAGCATGGTCCTGGATTCTTGCCAGACATTCAGGAAATGCCTGGGCTAGTCTCCGATCTGCCACTAACTCATGAATGAATAAAATCTTGGAGTAGCCTCTCCACTCCCAATAAGATTGTGACCCTGGGCATAGCAAAGAAGCCGTCTGCTACCTGAAGTGCCCAATAGTCTAGCCTCTCTGATTCAGACACCTTTTCCTAATTCCTTTGGGAAAAGGGATTAATGTATTGGGCAGGGCAGGCAAGATGTATCTCTCTGCTGGTGCTGACTCCCTTCCAGGATGCCGTCCCAGCATCAGCATCAGCCTCCCTGAAGAGGTTCCAATGGCCATGGGGCCTGAGCAGGCCCCCCTTTGCAAGACGCCGCACCTTGGTTGGCTGGCAACTGGCGCTAATGTGGAGACAGGCCCCATGCCCCTGTCCACAAGCACCTGGTAGGGTTCCTGTCCTGGAGTCATGAACTCTCACAGAAGGTCAAGTTGCAGCAGCCCTCTAGAGAGTCATCTAATCCCACATTGTTGTTAGTATTGTTTTTCAAACATTTTCTCCTGGTTTTCTGCTAGCAAATCTTCTGGTAGGCCCAATATAGAAGACAGAAGAGCAGCTGGCAGGTTAAAGTTGGCTCTGAAGCTTATTCAGCTCACTCATCCTCCTCAATCCCCCAAAAAGGTCCTACCTTAGGGGATTTACAACAAATATTGCTTTTGTCCCCAATGGACAGAAGAGGGGCCTGAAACTCAGAATTCAAGCACACGACTAGTCCTCTGGCCTCTGAACTCCTGAATCCAGAAGCCTTCCACATACAGTTGAAACCCATTCACTTTTTTCTAACTGACTCACTCCCTCTGCCACCAAAATATGTGCCTTTCCTGGCTGTGAATGAGAGCAGCAATAAAGCAGGAGCACACCATGTCATTCCCGGATAAGTCAACTTCCCTCTCCAAAATTCTGTTTTCTCATCTGTTCCATGAGGGGGTGACATGAGATGATCCCTGCAGTCCCTCAGATTCCTGGACTCTAATCCTAATCCTCCTGCCCGAACAGTCCAGATGACCCCAATAAACCCTCATTATTCTTGCTAGGATAATGCCAGAAAATGGTAATAATATGTTAGAACATGAACTCCTCTAAGTTCTGTGGCCATAAGCATTCCAAAAAGAGCCTACCGTCCACTGGGGATGCCTTGGCAACATGTCATCTCAAGAAAACTTGTAACCACACTATGCCACCACTGTCCTTTTCCAAGCAACTTTAAATACCACTGATTTCCATTTGATGGGATCCTATCACCTATTTTGAAGCTTTTACACTCTGTGGCTGAATTCCCCTGACAGGCCAAGGAAGAGATTTAAAGCCCCCTCCAGTTCCCAGGGATCCCCTTCTGGCCCCGCCTAAGCTCACAACTGCCCTCCCTACCCCGGCTCTTCAGGGTGACCATAATGGAACTGCTGACTCTGTACGTCAGTAGCTTGAAGAAGAGCAGGACCTCAAGGCTGTGGTCCGGATGCTCTCATTTTATGAAAATTCCTCTCCAGCCTGATTCCCCGCAGTCCTTGGTCTTCGAGGCATGTGCACATCTGCACGACAGCATCTGCTTCCTTGGAATGTGGCTGCAATGTGTGGATTCCTGCAGTGCACAGATGCAGCATATGAGTCACAGCCGGTTGACACTGCAGGGGCAGAGCACAGATGCTGGCTGTGCAGTAGGAAGAGCTGGTTCCTTGGGGTCATTCTCCATTAGTGAACCTTGGGCGAGTGAATATTTCTAGATGGAACTCTACTTCCTCCTCTCTTAAATATAGGAAGTCGAAGCAGACGGTCTCCGAAGTTGCCCCAGCCCCAATAGTCTGTGTGTCTAAGACCTCAGAAATCACTGTTCAACTCTATGGCCATCATGACCAAAACCTAGGGAAAGACAATTCATTGGCCAGGGCCACACTGGGACCAGAATTTATATCTCAAGACTCTCAGTCTTTTCTTCTTCTTTTTAAATGTTTTTTTTTAATTATTTTTAAGGTTTTATTTATTCATGAGAGACACAGAGAGAGAGGCAGAGACAGAGACAGAGGGAGAAGCAGGCTCCCTGTGGAGACCTTCATGCGGAACTCCATCCCAGGACCCCAGGATCACAACCTGGGCCAAAGGCAGACACTCAACCACAGAGCCATCCAAGTGCCCCATTTTCTTTAAAAAACAA